CACTCTTCATTCTGTGTTTTTCCTGTGCATCCCAGCCATCATCTAAGTAAGTGACTCTTGCCAACAAAGGTTGTGAGCTCGGCAGAAGCTAGGAAAAATGTTTCTGGCAATAAAAGTGTCCATTGATTGGCACCATCCGTCGGATGGCATTCCAGCCCAATCGCACTCAATCAGACATTAATCCGCAGTCGTTCCCGAGCCAGGCCATTGTGATGGAGATGAGGTGACAGTTACTCCTCATTCAAGGTGTGATCGTTAACTTGGCCCTAGTCTAGGGAGAATGGCTACAAGCGTTTAAACTTTACGAGGGTCTGGTCTTTAAGTTATTGGATTTCCATCTACAAATCATTATAGACTAACTCATAAAAATAGTATCATATTTTTGTGAACACCAACACCTATATTTGGGCCCTCGAGTCATAATAAACCTTGATTGCCGGGTATTCTCGAGTCAAGTGTCCCTTTTTCCACTCGCCCTTTTGACCTGCCTCCCTAATTACATTAAAAATTGATTCCAATGACTTGTCAGACCACACAATCGGCCCAAAATTAATTTTAACCCGTACCCCCGTCCCAGTTAGCTTCCCATGTCATATAATTTTGTCAAATTACCGAATCACCCTGAGGAAATACCCCCTGAAAGAGACCGGAGTGAGCCAGCATATCGATCACTGGGATTACTATCGATTTTCCGGCCGGCGAGTAAACAGAGGATTTGATTTTGAGCCACTCCTGCTGCCATAGAAATAGTTGAAAGCATTTCCAAAAAGAATCAGGAAAGACACAAACATAATAATGCACAAAAATAACAAGAACGGAGCGAAAGACCCACTCTGTCGACGGAAAATCGCTTATGCAGGAAGCACTTTTCCTGGCGGCTCCTCCACGCCGAGATTTTCCTCGGCATGCAGCAGGAAAGGAAACCTCTTATCCTAACCCGCTCTAGTTCTCTGTTTTTTCCTGCCGAGCGAGTTTGTGTGGGACGTGATTTCAGCATAATTCCGTATATCAGGCCATAAATGGAGCATGCCACACGCTCGCTGCGAAGGAAGGACCCCCGAGGCGAATCCACAGTCACGGCCACAGGCTCACAGGCAGGACAGTCACACAAACCGCAAATGTAGAAAGGCAGACTGCACTTTTGTCGGTTTATTGTGCCGCCTTAGACAAAGTCTGCCAGATGCCGTTTTCCAGCCGGGTCAAGTACATTATAAACAGAGTGCCGTAGAGATTTTGCACAAAAATATAAAAAGCAGGCCAGACCTGGCAACAGGAACACCAACACCAACAGCCACAGCATCAGCATCAACAGACTTCAAAAGTCAAGAGTGTTGAAAAAATAAAGTCAATGGAAAGGCCGAAAAACACTTTGACTGATTTGAATGTGGAGCATATATGGCCAAGAGGGGTAGCTATCAAGGTTTAAGATAGAACTCTAAAATCTATGATTAAATGAAGGAAAGTTAAGACAGAAGCCATGCTACATGTGTGTTTATTCATGCTTTGTATCTCCATAATGGTCTAGAACCCCTCAGACTGCCCTCGATGACCGTTGCGGCCAGAATCGAAGCGAAAACGAAGCGGTATCCATTGATTCACTGAGTGCCAATTTACAAATCGAAAAAGCAGCCCGGCCCGGCCTGCACAAACAGCAATCTCAAGCGGAATCCGAAACGGATTCTGAATGGGAATCGGAGCTTGCACACGGATATGGAGAAAAGGTGGAGGCGGACGGCCGGCAGGAGGGCTCCACAAACATGGAAAACATGAAAATTGAGCGCTTTAATATTTTGAGCCCATTGAGTTTCAAGCCTCCTCCCTGACCAGCTCCAGGCCCTGTCGGCCATTGCAAATGCCGATGGCCGTTGGCTGATGGCCACCACATGCAGGGATATGTGTTTGTTCAGAATGTTTCCCTGGGATTTTCCACAAAATTTTCATTCATTCATGCTGCCGGCTGTGCAGACTCGGATTCGGCATCGGCGTCAGAATCGGAATCGGAATCCGTATCTGCGAGGCTGCTACGCTGCGGGTGAGTAATTTTTCAAGTATTTTCCATATTTTCCCATGTCGGTGGCTGTGTGCTTAGCTCCTGTTGGCTGTATTGCTTTTTTTCCGGACGGGGCTACCCAATAGCCACGAAAATCAAAGATTAAAATGAGCAACGACGATAGGGAGAAGAGACCTACGGTATTTGCCAGAATGTTTAGCCCCGGGATCAGGGTTCGGGTTTCGATTTCGTCACCAGATGCTGCCTCCACCCACTCAGCCACTCAGCAGACCAGACCAGGCGGCAAGCCGGCATTTTTTCCACAAATTATTGTACAAATATTTGACTTTCAAAGAGGACGCCGCGGATGGTGTCAAGGAACGAAAAAAAGACAAAAATCAGGCTACACATTTATTGAATTAATGGATTATTCGGGCGTCGGAGCAGCTGCGACCTCTGCTCGATTTGTTTTTTACGTTTTCCCCCTTCGGATTATTATTCAAAACATTGGCGACCTTTTTTTATTGATACTCGTACACCCCATACCCTCCCTGGTATTAGCTATTTCAAGCTTTTCAATGGAAATCGAAGCCAATGCATTTAATTAGATCGGGAATTAACGCTATACTCTGGAAAATCGGTTGAAATTGAATCCAATTTTGATTTTAAACCGCCTAATGGCCACCAGAGGTGGAAAGTGTGTGGAAAATCAATTTCAAACTACACAGGAGAAAGGAATGCCGGTCGGAATCGGTGCTTTGATGGAGCACCCCTTTGACGTTTGACCCGTGGCCAGAGACCCCACCGAAGCGGGAAATATTTTGATTGGGTCTGGTCTACTCTGACCCGAAAGTGATTGAGTGGAAAAATCAGAGGCCTGGTTGGGTTTCCAGAGTGTCCATCGAATAAAGTTTAGAATAATTTCCCTACATATGTTTTCCGGGTCAAATGGAGGTCTCTGTTCATGATCGCCATTCCCGGCATCCCCTGAACCGACGCCCATGACCCTACGGCCGTTAGCCATACGGCTTGCATGTTCAAATTACATTGAAATGGAGCCCCGAGAAGTGGCTTGGAAAAGGCCCACAGTCACTGTCGGAAGGCACAAAAACCGTTTCACAATTTTCTGTTCCAATTGGCCAAAACACACACACGCACACCCGGGCAGGGCCTGTGTTTAGACCATGGCTTTTTTATGGCCCACATGAATTTCTGTTGTGGCCACTCGGTCCACACATAGAAAACACTGGCAGAGACACATACACACACACGGCCGCAATTTGGCCAAAAAGTTGAACATTAAAATGCACTTGTTAACAAGTAATTTGTTGGAAATGGCAGATATTTGCTTATCGCAGCCATGAAATCAGTTTAGCCGGCCAAAAAGGTTGAATATTTGATTAGACATGGCCTCGTTAGGGACATGAACGGCGAGGCGGGCGAGGCCTGTGTGGGATAGTTGTGGCCCCCGATGGAGGTCTCCTCATGCGGACAAGTGCATCACTTACAATTAAGATTGTAATCACTCGGAATGGCGTTATAAATAAGTCACATGTTCGGGCGAGGGGCTCTGCAAGACTTCCATAACGAGGCAGCATCTGAAAGCACTTAGAGGTCCTCCCTCCACTACCATATGAATGTATATCCGCTCGGCATGAATTTAATCTTTATTGAAGGAGTCAGGGCGAGTCAAGTGGGAGGCAGAGCACTCGAAGTACTCTGTTTTTGGACCCGGAGTCTGGCATTCCGGCAAGTCCCCGCAGGCGAGACAAAATCAATTCCAATCAAACAAATGCAGCGAGTCGGCGAGGGCACATCCACTCAAGCGAACCAATAAAAACTCAAAGTACAAAAAAATTATTTTGGGGTGTATACTTCTGGGTGACGGTAGAGGGGGCTGGAATGAAATGAAATGCATGTAACAAAATAATTGAGAATAATCGAGTTTAAATCGCATTTGGCTCTGACATTGATGACAAAGGCACAATCAGGGCGAACGCGATCGGGAGGGTGTCTGACACAGCGCTGAGGGGTGACGATGTCACAAATGTCACAATTCGAGCGGAAAGGGAGACTAGAAAGTAATTATAAAGTTATCAAAATAGGTATCCTTCCGAATATGACTTTAATGTCCTTGACTTCGCTGAGAAAAAGTGTTAGTCACAGTCCTATGATTACCGGGCGTTGAACCCACAGCTGCAGGCCACTTCTCCCGCTGGGAGGGCCTGCCTGCGTCCAAGCACAATATTTACTTTCTGGGCCTGCAATCCCCGAAATCCCCGAAAGTCAAGAATTTAATCTGTTTCCCATTTCCCCGTGCAATAACCCTCCACTGCCTGAGTTCAGACCGCCAGATGTTGGGTCTGTCGGTTACGCCTCCGCTCTCCTAATGGGAAAACTAACGCGAAGGCCCGGCTCTGGGACCGCCCGGCATAATATACATATAAACAAACCCATTGACATGTTCTCTAATTTCATTTGGATGTCCGTGAAATGTCATTATGGCAGGAAGAGCCCTGGCCCGAGGGGGAAACTGCATTTAAAAATGTTGAATTTTTTATGGAGCTCGGTTCGTGTTCTGTTCTCTGATGCATGCACTCCCGGGCCGCGACAAAAAATTGGGAAAATCCCGTCTAAACGAATTTCAGCTTTAGTTTTTTTTCCAGCTTTAATTGCAATTTACAGCCAGGAGTCGTCCCAGTCCCCCTCTCTGAAAGTGTTAATGTCTAAATTGGTCGTGTTTTGTTATCGACGCTGTTGTTGTGGCAACGCTGCATTAAATTCCAAACATTTTCAACTGGTTTTCTGCGGTTACGATGTTTATATTTCAATTGAGGTTTTCACGCAATTCCGAATGTTTGTGCTCTGTTCTCCTGTTTGTTGTTTTTACGGTTCCTTTATTTATTTATGCCGTGCTACTTCCGTCGATTTCCCCCGAATGTGTATATCCCACACAATGATATAGTGTTTGCTCTATGTACCTATGTAGTATAGGAAAAGTAGGACTTACCTTCGTCGGCGGTGGCGGGGTGCTGTTCGCCCTGGACAGACGATAGGTCTCCTGCCAGCAGGACTAGAAGAAGGCAGGCCCCGGCGGAAAATGTATCCATTTTCGTGGCTAATTCCCTGGCTATCCTGTCCCTTGGCGGAGCTCTCAGTTCAGTGGTAGGCTACGGGTTTCTTGGAGTGCTTTCCTGGGTTCTTGGCCCAGATTCCTGGTAATTGTTGCTTTGAGTTTCCTCCTCTTGCTGGTTTCGCTTTCGGTCTTTAGTTTTTTGGGGTTTTTCATAAGTTTCCCCGCTGGTCTGGCTGCAGTTTGGTGTTTTTCTCGCTTTTTGCTGCAGCTAGTGGCACTCCTATACTCATCTTTTCCGGAGTTACTGGCTCTAGCTTGCCGCTTAGTTCGATTTTTCCATCATCCTCCGATGGCTGCCGCTGACACTCGCCACTGGAAATGGAAAATTTGAAAACATTAAAACAAAGCGAAGATATTTGGCCGAATTAGCTTTCATTTATGCAACATTTGGTTGGGGATAGTTGGGGAAGAAGCTGAAACAACAGACCAGCAGCCAAATAAAAAGAGCAACAAAATATTGAATTGCAAATGGAATCAAAGAAACGCATGTAGTGGACTTGTTCTCCATCTCGGGCATGGTTTTGTGGCGAAAAGTGCATAATGGGATGGGGGTCTTGATGGGAGAAACTCTGGAAATCTGCATACTGCTAGCTGGAATGTGTGCGATCAAGCTTGCTTAATTACAAAGTGGAATTTGGCCAGAATTGGAATTCAATGTGAATGCAAATAGGAGCAGGGAAGCGCTTGCTTGAACTCTGCTGTCTGATTTGCATTTCTGGTGCGAAGTCTTTGCTCCTCTAGTCTTATGGCCATAATTTAAAGTTCCCATATAGGAACCACCAGAGGAGACCATGATCCTCACTTCTTCAAAGAGTTAAATATTTAAAATGACAGAACTGGAATCCTGGGAGCCATATCGCTGATAGATTACCTGACAGCAGTGTGAATAATAAATAAATAAATATTTTTATATTTAACAATAATGTCAGCCGACAAACGCTCTCTGGGCGAAAGGGACACACCATGGATTACGAAAGTACGCTTCTGTCAACCTCTCAACATGCCAAAACAAAGTGACCTCGATTTTTTATTGCCCAGCACCCAGTACCCGGCAGAAGGCCAGCCGAATGGAAGTTGTCCTGGGGGAGGACACGAAAATATTGCACGCAGTCCGTCAGCCGCAGACCGAGGCTCCAGTTCCCTACCAGGTGATGTATAACTTAATACAAGGATTTAAGTATCTGCTCCCCAACTTCCGGGCACTTTCCCTTTCGTTTTGGGACCCCATCCACGTGTGCTTGTGTGTTACTTATATGCCCTACTTTGTTTGCCTCCTTTCTGGCGCTTTCTTGAAGCAATTTAGCAGCATTTTGTTTGGTCAAAGGGGGCTTGCGACGATTCATCTAATATAAACACCCACACAGCCATACGAGGCACATGCCCCACGCAGGTCGGAGCTTACATTGACACTTTTACGGTTTGCGGAAAACAGGACAGTGGCGTACCCAGGGGGACTTGGGTGAACATATTCCTCGATCCCATACAGGAGAGTATAAAGTGTGGAGTATAGCTAGTTTTCCTTAAAAAGCTTTAAACCAAAGTTAAGTATAGTTTGTAGTCTGCGCTCCTGTCCTTTCCTCGAGCTTCTAGTTATCAAGGTGGGAAGAACGGCCACAATTTTCCACAAAACAGCAGGGGAGAACCCAAAACATCAGCAGCAAGGACCTCGGAAAACTGGCTACAATGGATGAGTTGCCATTCATAATATTAGCGCGACGAGGCGAGCTAAACAAAGGACCAGCCCCAGATCCAGCCCCTGCAGAAAAAAGGAAAAAATTCAACTTCAATCCACTCGGCAGGCAAAGAAGGGGATTCCGAGGGAGCCACAGGAATTGGTAAATAAGAACAGGAGCCACTGGAGAAACTACACGTGTAGGTAAAGCAATCAACAAGCAGGATACGAGTCGAATGAGTAACATAAATAATAAAAACGCAGGGAGGATGGCGTTCGAGCCAGGAGCAGGAGTGGCAGGCTCAGACATTTGTATGAATGATGTCTGAGAACAGGACGACGCATGAATGGCAAATGGCGAAATGGGTGAGTGACGAGTGGCAAGCAGCCAGGCCACCACCCACCCTGCCACCTGGCTCCACCTGCTTATTTATGCTGTGCCTATGGCTGCCACTCGAGTCCCAGGAGTCGAGGCCCCAGACGCTGCTACACCGAGCCAAAAGAGGGCCAAGTACTTAAGGATTTCAGGACAAAACTTATCCTTTATACTCCACATACTTTCTGTAATTTTTAATAAGCTCTACAATAGTTTAAATATTTAAATAAATCTCAATCTAGAACCCTTTTTCCACCCTGTAGTAAGTAAGCCGTGAATGGAATATGGCGGCAAATAGAAAATATTTATGTATTATGCAAAGCGGGACCTGCAGGATCCAGCACAATGGAGAAAACACGCCCATAATGGAAACCTGTTGTCCGGGAAATCTTATTCTCCGCAAGCACACAGGGGCGGGCGCCTCGACCCATAACTCACGGGGGGAGCACATGGTTATTTAATTTGGACATTCTGTAACTCCCGACGAAATAATGGCCAGCCGAGAAGGCAGGTGCAAGGAATGACTACCAGGTTGGATAAGATACGGCCACTTATCCGAGGCAGAAAGGTGTTAAGTGTGCCAGAGATTATCAGATTAATTTCTGGGTTTTTTATATCTTTCTTCAGTTCAAGTCTTGAACAAATACTTTTCAGGAAAGATTTTTCCTTAAATCCTGGTATTTTAAAAGCCTTATACCTTAACGTTTTATGTTTATTTTTTTGTGAACATCTCACAAACGCATAAAGGAGTGAACAATGCGAGAAATTCCCAGCCAATTTGCATAAGTGATTTGGTCTTTCTTCTTGTTCCACTGAGCCCCATCGAGCGCCCCTAAGCATCCTGTGGCGCCCCGAATCCCAATCCCAGCACCCACGTCTCTGGCTGCCTATCTGGGGCACAGGTGAGAGGCAGCCACTAGCTGCAAAAAGTGTGTGGAGAAGATATGTGAAAGTGTCAGCAACGTGACGCTTATAAATTTATGAAGAAACTTCCCCAGAACCTCCCTCTAAGGCTGGACCGTGTCACATAGACATATTGAAGCTCTACACTTAGGAAAATCAATGCATTTAAGGCTTCATGGAAATCTAGGAGGTTATAGAAATTTTAAATACCACCCCCTGAGTAAAATATTAATTATTTTTAATTAAATTTCTCAACAAAAGGAAAACTATTTGTTTTCAGAGATTTTTTCACTGTTCTCCTTGTAGAAAGATGTCTGTTAGGAAGCCAGAGGATGGCAAGACTGCAGTAAGTGAAATTAATTAAAAAGGACGAATAGCGTTAGTCAAGGATTGTTGCCCGTTGGGGGAGTTGGAGGGCAAGACACGGACACTGGAACACTGGAACACTGGGACACAGGGACACACGGACACGGTGGCAAAGAGATGGATGGACCGGCGACACACAATGAATGGGCAAAAAGATGTCAACACTTTGTTGAAGATGATGACGTCGTCACCCTTGTCGTTGTTGCTGTTTTCCTTGCTGTCGTCCTGTCGTCTGTGATCCAGTCTGTCCTCCAGTCCTGGCCATCATCCATTGTCTCAGCCATTGTTTCATATTGCTCTTCTCATTCTCGGCAGTCTGCTGCTGTTTATGAAGTGGCAGGAACGAGTGGCGTTGTTAATAATAGAATGTAACTTCTATTTCAGCCCGACTCGCGTTACAATCTCCTTGCCAGCCAAGGAGCGAATCTCGTTTTTCGCTCCGGCTGCCTTTTGTTTTTCTTCCACTCGAGCATCTTCTTTAAAAGAGTTTTTTGCAGACTTTCGAGTGGCAAGCAGCCCAGCAAAAAACAATTTTTGTTGCCTCGTCGGGGCCATTTAAATAATACGGTTTAATATTTTATTCGACTGGCTCTCCTTTCTCTTTTAATGAAATATTTTCACAGTCGAGTCACAGTGCGTCGCAAATCCCTGCTAGGACAGCCTGTAAGCCGGACTTTTATTTGTTTTCGCAACTAATTGCATGGATGCTCTCTTTATCTTTTATTAAAATGGCTTTCGCAGCAAACAACAATGGGTTTATATGGCCAGCAAAAATATTTCAGTTTATTTTCGAATTTGGGAAATTAGGAGCATCCTGCCATGGAGACCAGTGCTTATCCCCCGATCCAAAACCAAACAGAGTTGAAGAGTATTTCGGCAAGCCAGGGCAAACAGGCTTTGGGTAAATATTCTCGAATTTATTCATTTTCCGAGTATTTATTTTCACAAATGTTTCTCCATACATTTATTTTTAATTAAAAGCAAAAAGCCAAAGCACGGGGGCAGGTGCACAGAGGCCCACGACAATGGGGGAGCGAAGCAGAGCTGTTAAATTTCAATGTCAACAATTCCCCAGCACACACGATGGCTCATAAAACATATATCCCATGTACCATATATACACTGTATGTGTTTGCGTATCTATGACAAAAAAATTGTTTATTTAATGGAGGAGGCCCCCCCTGCTCACAGTCTCCTCCTCCGCACAGAGTACTAAAAAATGCATTTTTATTTTTATCCTTCAAAGAGGTGGAATAGGAAAGTGGGAGTTACTAGACCTGCCGCATACCCTTGACAAAAAGTTGCACAGAAAAGTATGGTACAAATATTATACATACTCGCAACTGCAAATTCTGTAGCCATTTTGCAATAACTTTTGCTTTTTCTTTAAAATATTGATTGTTTGCCTAATATACTCTTTTTAAGAGGACCCTTCAGAGTAGAATCAGGACAGCAGCCGATAAACTCGTGGGATTTCTGCCGGAAAGAGCCGCATTGCGAGTCAAAAGGCACACAGACACACACACAGCACACCATCGCAGGCAGGAGGTCGTCGCACATCCTTGAAACATTTCATATGGATAACAAATGCCTGGAAAATTATTTTCAAATGCAACCTCGGAGGCAGGGCGGCTGCCAGGGGAAACTGTGACACTTTCCCACACAAACTCCGATGTACTTGGATATTTATTTTTCCTTTAAGCCGCGTACCAAGTAGCTTTTTTTTAGGGTTAGGAGCGTATTTTATTGGCCCGCTGTTTGTTTGTTCTTGTACGAGTCTTGGCTTCCCTTCAGGACCTTCGCTTTGGCAAAAATTGCGTAAAAGCCGAGGCGTGGGTGTTGCTTTGATGCGGCCCTAGAGTTGATTTTGTATTTCGGGCGGAAGTCTCATTGCGTTTGCATTGTGCGGTTTTCCCTCGCACGTGCCATCTCTTTCCCCGGCCCTCTGCCCGTCTCTGTCTCGTTTCCGTACGTGTGTTAATTGGCGGTCTATGC